ATGCCATTCGCTGTGAATTCTTGTTAGCTCCTTTAGAAGCAATGTAGTATTTTTGTAGTATGTTAGGGCTAACATAACTACAGCACTTGGTGCAAAGTTACCGTTACCACAGTGTGTTAGTCAGCTAACTTACCTTCAGGCAATCCTAGGCAATCCTCCATAGATAAAATTAGAAAACATATTTTTATTGTTGGTAATATTTATTACTGATGTTCTTCTCATGCATATGTAGCTGTACAATCACTACAAGCAGTGTCAGGGTCCAGTACATGGGATCTGAGCCAGGGATAGTTTTTGATATATAATATTTAACTATTTTAGCACTCTAACTGACTCAGGCTTTCTAGTGTCGGAAAAGGCTCAGTGCAGTAGCACAGGAACAGAGGTGTGGACCCAAGTTGCAGACACTGATGACGGGGTTGCAGATCAAATAAAGATTTATTTAGTCCAAACAAAACAGGCTTACTACTTATTTCAAGGCGAAAGTCCAAAACAAAAGGGTAATTCCAACAAGGCTGGGTACAAAGTCCAAACACGGATTATATCTAACAAAAAGCAAGGGAATCCAACACAAGGGAATAATCCAAAAATCCAAGGAAACAGAATACAAGGCAGAACACTCAACATAAGACGATGACACCACGAGGATTAAACAGAACTGAGGGCAATACACACACACACACACACACACACACACACACGACAATTAACACAGGTGAGGCACATAAGCAATCAAACAGAAAGGAAACAACGCCAGACAAAAACACATGAAACTGATCACTACAAAATAAAACAGGAAGTAAAGCTAGCGACAATACACAAGGACATGTGAAACCAAATACAACAGAGAATAAGGAAGCAATGATCAACTAACCAAACCTAAGCAAGAACACAGAGGCAAAGAGTAAAACAGGAATGGACATTAACAAAATAACAGAAAAATGCCACATAAAACTCAAGACCGTGACAGCTGGATCTGGTCTTGTTCAGTGCAGTGGTGCCTTGCTTATACAAAACTTAAGAGGCATGTGTCCTAAAAAAGTTTCTTGAAGGTCTTCATCATAATGAAGTTGACCGTACACAAGTACAGCACTATTTATTAATATAACTGCAAAGAACCTTCTCAGCGCCCCCACATGGCACTCGCATAAAAGGCCTCTCTGTCTCAAAGTCCCACAGTCCCAGTACATCCCTCATAACATCACACATCCGATCTTATTTACTAACAAACCCACCTTCCTTTTTTTCTGAAGTGTGCCAACACAACATAAAGATGTCAGTACCTTGTACAGAGAGAAGGAAGACAACAAATCCACTCGCTGCTGCTGTTAAACTCATAGCTGCTCCTCACGTCGGTTAAATCAGCAGGTAGATCAGATACATGAGAAATCCTGCTTGTCAGTTAGTCACAATAAACAAACTAATAAACTAATGAAAAAGGGAGGACGCTGTCTTTAAAGACAGTTTGTCTCTGTGCTTTGTACACATGTGTCTTAAAACAGACACTGATGTGTTAAAAGCTGCCCTGACTTTCTTCCTCTTCACATCATTAATATGCATTGTTGAAATGAAGACAGGAAACTGAACTCTTTAAAATACAATTTATTGGAATTATAGTTACGGTCATTTTGTGACCTTGTAGTGCCTCTTAACACTTTTCTTGAAGACTATTTGAGGGGTTAAAAAAAACAACATATTTTAATCACTGCTTTTTTTAAACTTTATACTACAAGCCAAATCCAATTTCTTTACAGCACCAGTCCATACAGTATGATCTTGAGTCTATTGTATAAACATTTGTAAACACTTTATTTTCCATAGTGTTAAGAGAGCTAAGCTGAACATTGTTTATAAGCACACATGAAAAACAAACAACATGAAACAAACAGGATGTCACGAGTTTGAGGAAGTGAAAACAGGAGAGAGCCCAAAAGCAAGACACTGGAGAGTTCACTGAAGGAGCACAAGTTCAATCCAAAAAACACAAAAACTCAGGCTTACATGCAGTTCGGGTATAAAACGTCCAAACAGAGGATCAGGCAACACAGAGACAGGCGGAACACTCCAAGATAGGATAGATACTTCCAGATAGGAGATCAGCTTTATGAAAACGCTGCCTACTGACCAATCAGCTCTCTTGGAACATGACATCACCATCTGTAGGAAATCCCACAGACTGTTTCAGCCAATAGGCTGCTTAAAAGAGACTATGGGGACTGATTAAAAGCCTTAGGCTATTGTTGCCTACACTGCAAAATTTTTCGTTGTGAATTTACAATAAATAATTGGATAATTTTGCATGATTTTCACAGTAAGGATTACAGCAATATACTGTGAAATATACTCACAGCAATTTACTGTAATTTTATATCTGTGATATAAACAATGCATTGTTGTAAAAGCACAACTGTATACTTTAACTTCACAGCTTCAATGACAAAGGAATTATTGTGATATTACAGTACATTACTGGGGAATTACAATCTTTTGCTGTACATCATTACAACAAGGCCCTGTACTTTTACAGTGTGTACTGTGAAAGTAATGTACATGTTGACAATAATTTACTGTGAATTTACAATGTATACTGTGGAAGTCATGCTAAAATTGTCCAGTAACGTACTGTAAAAGTAATGCAGATGAAGCATCCATTTACTGTGAATTTACAATCATTGTACAATTAACCCCCTCTCCCCAACAAACAACTCTGAGGTAAATTCAATGTTAGCCCAATGGCATATTTATTAACAAATAAATATTTTTCAATGTGCAGCAGATGCCAAGAACTTCAAGTGTTCAAGAAATTCAACTTTCTAGTCATAAAAGCCATCTTAAAATGCAGAAAATGCAGAGAAATTGTGCAAACTTGTAATTCAACTACCTGTTTCACAATTCAACTATTCAACTAGCTGTGTCACAATAACAGTAATGGACAGGATGGGAATGAGGCCTTCATGGCAATATAAGAGAGCAAGGGAGAGAGCGATGAAGGAATGTCTTAAAGGGGTGAGGCGCCCCTCTCAGTCTCAAACATTATAATGAGTCCACATGCAACAGCATTGTGTAAAAATCTTGTAGTGCAAAGTTGTCTTGAAAAATTACAAAAAGAACAAGGCTACTCAAAACTGAGCCTGACAACTACCGCTGCAAAAAACAAAAACGATGATGCCCACTCAAAGTCAATAAGTTTCCTCAAAAGGGTGCTCACATGAGGGTTCATTGTTGTCCGCTTCTTGGTCTTTGAGCCTCTTTCAGGATTGATGCCCAGGAAGCACCTGTTAATAAGCAAAGATAGTTTCAGTTTTAAATAGACTTACAGTATGTATTGCAGACAGCATTTATCAAGGTGCGCTTTTTGCTGTGCTTTTTCCCCACATCAAACCCTAATAGATTTAAAATCCAAACTTGTTAGATCGTACTCTCACCATAATTTAGCCAAGGTGCCTCAGGTTAGGTTTCCCTGAGGCAAAGTGGTTGATTTTCTACTATGAGAGGCCATATCAACGTGCGCCGCCACTGAAATGCATCTTCACGCAATTGGCCAGTTGGTAAATTAAAACCAAAACCTGTTGCAAGTATGACAAACACATCCTTTTCAATTAAGGGCCTGAGAGCATTTTGTTCTGCTTTTAAAGAAAATTTCATCTACTTCATTCAATACATTCGCATTTCGCAATAGACGTTTTGAAATCATCATCACATAGCCTGCCCCAAAACAAAATAAATAACTGTGATTGGACCAGCAGGTATTTGTCAGCATAACGTGTAGAAAACCAGACTGATCTGCAGAGCGAAATTGAATGAGTTTGCAAGATCAGGATGGTCTTACCAGGCTAGCCTCAGGTACCTCGTTTGTCAGCATTTTAGACCTCAAGAAGCCTGTACTATAATGTGAATTACAAGATTAAATGTGATCTTTATAAAATACCTTTGAATGAATTCCAGCATCGACGATCCAGATACTCAAGGTTGAAGACGTAATAGCTGCTGAAGAAAGCAGCTACTCCGTGTAAAAAGATAGGGTGTGGGCCCATCACGACATGTCCCTCGATGGATATAAGCCATCCAGAGGGCTTCATCATGTCACCTGATATGAACAGATACAACATTATGTGTTATGAGCACTTTGCGATCTGCTTAAGACACAAAGGGCTAAACAAATGTAATTCTTATTATAATCATAATTATTATTATTTATTGTGGTCATGTAGATTTCTAGAATGAAAAGAAAATAATGAGTTGTCGATAAATGTCGATACTAGATCAAAGTAACATTACCTTGAATGATCAAGCAGGGGGTGCTGGGGAGTTCTGCAGTATTGACGTCCACAGCAGTGGCACATGGCTGTAGTATAGTTAACACACAATAGCATGGATTTAGGATAAAGGATAAATATTGTTCATTGGTCAGAGGTAAATCATGCAAGGTAAATGTTGATAATGTAATCACACATTTGCATTTTAAATATTTGAATAAAAAATCTTACATCAACTTCAAGCATCAAACTCTCTTTCGGCTCTTTGAAGTACAACATTAGGAGCAGCAGGATGCAGGCAGCCTTGTCAGAGTCTGGATCATAGCAGGCCAGAACATCACGGATCTTGGGGTTGTCCAGTGTTGCACAGTAATCCAGGATGGTCTGTCCTCGTCGACTAATTGCCTCCTGTAGCTTCTGAAGGACATCGACGTCCGTCAGGAGGCCAAAGTGTGAGAATAAGCATTTCTGAGAGAAGAGAAATGGCCATTCCTGTTTGATCTCAGACATCGCTGCAGCAGGCACTTTGTAAGGTATTTCCGCAGGATGACGTATGTCTTTTCCATCATTGGTTCTGCTCTCCCTGCCCCACTCATTCCTTCCTCTGTGTATATAGACATACAAATGTATTGTTAGTACCCAAGTAACAATTTGGTCTTGTAGCCGCCCAACACACACAGTGTTCAGATCTTGACCAATTACTAAAGTCTAAACAAAATTACCCAAAGAGAGAAGATGGCATGCCTGAGTAGATGTTCAGCAGATCCCTCTTCATATTCTCCAACGTTGCCTCGGTCTCCCCCTCTGGCCAATCTGCTGGGCCCCACCTGACACACCTAGGAGTGGGCATCACAGGGTAACAATACTATTGGGGACGGTTATAGCTCAGAAGTTGGAGCAAGTCGTCTCATGATTGAAGGGTCAGCAGTTCGATTCCCTGTTGTGACTGTTTAAATAGACCCATCCCACAGAAGTTATGTTACAGTGTAAAAGTTTTGTAAACACAGGTGCATTTTATCAAACTAATTAAAGGGATATTCCACCATTTGGGGAATTAAGCAATACCACATATAGCTCCAGTCTAGCATAGATCATTGGATCGGATTAGACCATTAGCATCTCACCCTCAAAATGACTAAGATTTCCGGAATTTTTCCTATTTAAAAGTTGTCTCTTAAGTTAGAACGTGCAATAAAACTAGCGGAAAATGAAACATGGCAATTTTCTAGGCTGATTTGACATGGAACTATACTCTCATTCTGGCGTAATAATCAAGGAACGTTGCAAACGTACCATGGGCGCAGTGATATTACGCAGCACGTGAAAATACTTTCAGGTGCTGCGTGTTCCTCGGCAGCCTCTGAATACTGCACATGATGCACATCTATGTTTTCTGGAAATATGTGAAGCAAAAGTCATCACGTGTGTGAACGTGCAATCACAACCTCTAAATGGACATCTAGTTACCATTCCTCCCTTATGTGCGTCTTCAAATGTTTAATAAGAGAGGCCAAAGTGTCACACTTAAATGCACAAGCCTCAAGCAGACATTTCAAGGGTGTAAGAGCTGATGTGTCAGGCAGTATAGGCCCAGCCCTGCAGGTAGGACCTATGCTGCCTATACATATGAATTTGCAGTCCTGTGTTTTTCTGTACCTCCGTGAGCAGTCAGGCACCCCACACTGGTAGTGATAATTGGGGGCATTGCTATGCAGTTTTGTGTGCTGAACATAGTTACACACATTCTCAGACACATGCTCACAGCCAACGAATTTACAGTTGAACATTGTGGATGCATGTTAACTAGTCACCTACCTAATCTAATTCTCCTCACTCTTAGCCTGACACTGAACAGGATGACCTGGAAAGAAAAGAAGAAAAAAAAAAATTAAAAAGGCAACCAACAATAAGAATTTCAGTTTGAATGCAGATTATGATAATTGATTTTCATTTAATTTTAGCCGTATGTCAAAAATGATAGTGGTATATCTATAGTGTTTTTTTACTGTAGCACTTTGAGATTGCTCACTCAATGTAAAGTGCATTTACAACTTTTACAATTATTATTCATTCATATCCCGTTGTCGAACACGACATGAGACTAACTTACTCCAGTTAGCTCAGTCATGTTGTAACTAGGATATCCGCTGGAAAAATATTTTTTCATGGACCTGGATTGTGCATTCCAGATGAGCATGGAACCGTGAATGAGAAAGTTCTGGAGAGTGATTTTGTGTTGTTTGAATCACTTTCTTTTTTTGACGGTGAATCACCGTTTGAATCACTAAGTTATTAAAGTTAAACAGCTAACAGTTAGCAATGCTAATCTATGATAACCTTGACTAATTACAGAAATGTGCACACATAAATAGTAATGTTTGTCCCATCATTGGTTTTATAAACTTTACAAACACCAGATTTGTCTAAACGGGGATAGTGACATGAAAAACTGTAGCGAAACTCTCCCATTACTAACATTACTACTATTAGCAAATGCTGTGAGAGAACTTTCTAACAAAATGTGAACTGAGTCATGCGATAAACATTTATTTGAAAGTAAATATTATTATCAGATTAAAATAACATGGGTGTAAGTGCTGCAAACATGCATGCTGCTCACCTTCTCCATTCAGCCCGGAATAGAAGAGGGACACGACGGAGCCTTCAGTTCAAAACAGTTCAGTTATGTCATGGCACACTGTAATAATACTGTTTAATGCTGTGAAATCCTTAATTTTTTCACTGTGTTGCTGTGATATTACAGACCTTGTTGTGATATAACAGCAGGTTTTAGATTGCAAGATTTACTATAAAATAAGAGTTAAATGCTGTAAAATCCAAGGATACTGTAGTTTTTACAGGTATTCATCGGGATATTACAGGGAAACTCATTTACAACAAGTTACTGTAAAATAATACTTTTAATTATTGTGAAATGCTGGTAATTTCTAACAGTGTACAGATTTTTACAGTAAGCCTACTTACTTTGAAATGTGTTTAATAATTTTTATTTGCTCCCAGTCCGTTTCACACAGCCTGTCGCAGCCGTTAAAATAAATGCGTTTCATTTTTCTTATGTAAGGTTGAATATTATGAGCAGTTTGGTAGGGATGTTGAAATACTAAAATTTAATATGAACGTAGGCTATCTATTTTAGGTTAGTAGACTGTAGCTTTCTTATAGGCCTACCACAGAGACTAGTCATGTTCTGCCCCACGTTTTGCACTGTGGTATTGAGGGGAGTTTTCAGCAGCCTAAATGTTGAGATTCAGTCTTTCAACCCCTATTTGAGCACATTTTATGGCATTAATGGATTTTTCATTTCATTGCTTTATGAATTAATTAGAACAATGTTTGGAACACTTTGAGTGTGTTAAATTAATCTCATTTTTTAAAGTGA